ATGCGAGGCTAATGCGAGGTATGATGCTTCTGTCTTGACTAATGTGGAGTTCACTCGCAGTGGCTGGCGATGTGTAGTTTGCGATTAGGAATACGGTTCGAGAGTCGCAGGGGCGGGGGAGGAGGACCGCAGGCGGCGATTCGTAGTTAATTTCCAACTCAATCGCGTTTGCTTTTTGCAAAGGTTATAATCACTCATTGATTTGAATGCCCCGTGATTTACGTCTCTTTATCCAAAAGCGTTGTGTTGATCGACAAGCAGACAGCTTCACTTTCGTGTATGAATATTGGGTTAACGGGTGCGTCATCTACATTGGTTATTAGACTTGTGAGTGTGGTGCATGTTTTAACTGAGTGGGGTGCTAACGTGACATCGAGTGCTAACCTATACGTCAACTTGCAGATTTTTCACCTGCAGGTTTCTCTGCCAATGAGGCACAACCCTAACCTGGGCATGCTATACGTTACCGACATGTAGGATAGTGAAGTACATGTTTGTGTGAAGAGAGAGAGAGTAGGACAAGGGTGAGAAAGGAAAGATCACTCCTCGTCCGTGGCCTGTTTGTAGACGTCCTGCTCCGACATCCGCCTAGTATTTACAAAAGAAAGCAGAAAAAACTACCATCTAGAGCGGCAGGCCACCAGCATTGTCCTCCAGGCAGTGGCTTAATTGGACCTAGCTCTGTAGCTTGTGAGGAGCAGAGGAGTGGAATCCTCTGTCTCCTGCGTGTATAGTTGGCGGTGTGTGCCGGGGCGCGGGCTGCAGATCGCAAGGATCCCTATCGCAGCGGGCGGGCGGTGCCGGGCAGTGGTGTTGGCGGGCGTCAGCAGCAGCGGTCGCCGGGGCTGGGGGAGGGGACGCGCGCCTGCGGCCGCAGATAGCCCCAGGGCACGCGCCGCGGCCGGCCAGCGCTGTCCTCCTGCCCCGCCCCGCCCCTCCGCGCTCCGCGCCGCGCCGCGTCGGGCGAAAGTTGGAGGCAGATAACCGGCGGCGGAGGCGACGCAGCAGTTTGTGGTGCCGCGGGCGCCGCCCTCGCGTCAGCGCCAACTTCTCCGCCGCTGTTTGCCCTCCGCCCCGGCTACTGCGCCCTGCCTTTTTCCCGTCCGAGGCTCCCCCCGCCCCCCTCCTCGCGAGGGGCCCGTGCATACCGGCATCCGCAAGTTCCTTGCTGTAACAATTTGCTCTCACGTTTTACGGCCGGACCTTCTCCGCTGGCGCGTTGCTGCGGCCGTGGCTCAGGAGCTTAAAGACCTCGTGCTCTGCCCGACGTTCACGTAACTTCATTTAATACGCGAGCCCTAGTGATCTTCGTCCCCTCACTGCGTGTATGCGTTCATTTTAAGTTATTAATTAAATTACTCCTTTACATTTTCGCATTTAACTGCAACTAAATTAAAGGTGATGCCATGAAAAATATATCTTTTCTAGTATGCCTTATATTGGGTTTAGTAAATAAATTCTAAAGTAAACAACGCATTGTTGTCTGTCGTTTTCTGATGATATGGCGCGGCCGTGATCGAGTTCCTCCTCATTCATAGTCCTTCTCAGCCGCCATTCTCGCTCTGACGGCCACAGCGCTCACAGTAACTGTTGTAAATACTCCCTAGATCCGTAAACTCCTTTTTGCACACGCTCACGGGAGACTTTCCTTCCGCTGCCTGTGGGGCATCCCCTAACTAATTTACCCACTAAATTAAAACACACACACATTTGTAACTGAAAATCGATCGCAGTGTGTTGATCAGTGTCTTAAGTAGCTCAGAATCTACCAAAAGACACCTTGTTTTGCCAATGGCCTGATCTCGCGGCGGCTGCTGGGCGGGGCCTTTCGGTCCGCTCCCGGCCGCCCCCCTTGTCCGGCTCGTCGCCGCCGCCACACGCTTTCTCCCTTGCCCAGCGACTGGGCGAATATGGCTCTGTCGCAACAGCCCCTGCTGCGGAAGCGTCGCTCAGCGGCACGTCTTAGAGCTCGAGTCCCGAAGGTGATCTTCGACACTAGCTAAGCTACACAGCTAGGGGCTGTGATCGATAGTTCTCTGTGAATTTCGCTCCCTTGCTACATGCGGGGCAAAGGAGTTCGCTTAGCGCAGTTTCGTGCCGAAGGAATTCAGCGGAATGTTCTCAACCACTTGGTTAAAAATGAAGCGAACCTGTTCATGATCTTGATGAAGAGAGTGGTCTGTGTTAAGGAGACGACGCTTGTACATTCCCGTCTGGTTGAAGAGAGCGCGCTGTCCAGTACCGCGGGCAGCGTCCTCGAGCGGACAAGGGAGGGCGTCGTGCACCCCATTTCATCACCCGAGGCCCCTCTTGGAGGCGGCGACATTGCGCGGCCCGTCGCCAACAAAAAAAAGCGCTTTTTCAATACTTATATTTAATAAATTAATAAATTGATTAATAAATTAATAAATAACCTTATAAATAATAAATTAATATGTTGATGCTAATAAAACATCGACACATCCAACGATGTTCTTAAAATTGAATTAGTAACCATTGAAGTTCACGCAGGAGGGATTTAATCTGAAATTGGGCTCATTTATTAATATTTTCATTCAGATTTAACTGGAAAAAGAAAGACAAAAAGCATACGGACGATTAAAAAAATTGAATTAACTGTCTCTATAATTCAAAAATGATGAAGCTTTTTTATTGAAGAAAACTCAATTTTATTTATTTTTCGGCCTTCGTAACTTTGGTCTGAAGAATATTCAACTTAAAGTTATTTGAAAATTATTTTAGAATTTTTTAAGTATTTTTTTTTTCATTCGGAAAAACCGATAACAAAACATCGATGTTAATCATCTCGAAAAAATCGTTAAATGCGTGGCTGCTTTTATAAACCCACCGATATTTTGAAAGCATCGACCTCGATACGGCATCTCTATCCGTCGCGCGTGTTATGTCGCCAACCTGACCAGAGGTAGACAGTGGGCGGTGTCACAAATATTTTCTTTTAATGTGGGCTCCCGAAAAGCTAAGTTATCCGCTATTCTGAGGCATCAATGCTGGGGTATGTACGATAGAACGGCGAGGTGAGTAACAAGCACTCAACTCCTTTTGTACTTAATAAGATAGAAAATTACAGTAAAGTGCAAAGTAAAAGCACGAGTGTCACTTACAACGTAGGACCTCTGTGTCATGATGGCAAGTAACCTGCGGAGAGTTCTCATAGAATGCATTTATACACTCCGGGTGGTGCCTGGTCGAACTCACGTGGGGGAGGGGATAGAATGACATTTATTAAAGAAACGCTCGACGCCGCCTGAGTGGCCGCTCGATCGCATGACGAATCTGCGCTCTCAGATTTGGGTTACGGGTGCGTCCGCCATTTATCACCGAATGCTACTTCGTACTCTAGTAAATCGTAGTAACTCTTCGCCGTCGCACGAAGTTGAACAAGGGAAGCACTGAGATATCACTTGACAGGCTGTCATCAAACAAAACCCCAATACAACAATGGTATGCATGGAATACGGAAAGTTTAAAAATACTACTTGATATGTCAACTCCAAGCTATGTGAAGTCTTATGAATTGACTACGGAAAACAGCACTTGACAGGGAAGTTGACAACTAACTATAAAAGTTGTGCGTGGGCATCATCTCTTTAGGCGCGCGAGGCGTGTCTTCAGAAGTGAGAGGCACATCCTACATTTCAAGCCCAATACATATTACACGCGCGACCCCTGCCTGTGCCCCTCCCCCGCTTGCCCGCCACCATCCGAGAGCCGGGGAAAGCTGCGCACTCCGACCTGGTCACCCGACATGTGGGGTAGCGTAGGTAGGGGTAAGGGATAGGATAGTATGAGGAATGGGAAGGAAGGATCACGCGTGGTCCGTGGCCCATTTGTTAGGGTACTGCTCCATCACTCGCCTGGTGTTGATAGGAGAAACCATGAATCAAAGCATCCGGGCGCTAGAACTCTTCTCCAGCAGCGACTGAATTCGATCTACCTGACAAGCTAGTGTCGAAAACCCTGCCCTCAGGATTGGAACCTAGGACCTCCCGGTCAGAGGCACTGCGGTGACATCTGTTGATGCCCTGAGCAACATCTCCCACACCGCTCAGAAACACTTGTAGTCATTGAATCATCTGGCTTGTGGCGCGGGGATGTTGATTCCGAAGCGTCTGGCAGCTTCTGCCCGAGACTAGCTTTAACTCACCGACGCACTGTTAGCTTTGCTGCGCCTCAAAGGCGTTCCCATGGGCTGCAAGGGGATGCAGTTTTGTTAGAGATTGTGTGTTTAGCGGGAGCGCACGCCGGAAAATAAGTGTGTGGAAAAGGTCAGCTCGTCTGCAAGAAATTGGGACAGTGTGACCGTAGTGACCTTCTATTCGCCCTTCACTACATTGCAGTTGATCCCTCCCTAGCTCCTCCCCCTTCTTTTCCGTCGGGCTCAATCGTCAAGCTTTGCCCAGGGTACGC